ATCGACCTTCCGGCGAAGTTTCGCCGTCAGAAGCCGCGCGTGTGAGTCACGCGCCGCTGGAAGTTTTATGTCGTCAATCCCACGCGCCGGCGCGTGAGGGCGCGTGGTTGGCCGGATTTTTTCCGGCGACCGTCCGTGAACTCGAAATTTTGTGCTCGTGCTGCCAGCGTTCTTTGTTTTGTGTTTCGGGAGGTTTTGGTGTTCGTTTTGTGCATTTTCAGATCCGTCATTCTTCGGGGTTAGGGTTTTTGTACTCTAATCGGTCCCGACAGCCGTCAATTTATGTTTTTTATTGTCACTCGCATATCGTGTGCCTCAACGCTGCCAGCGCTTTCATTCATACTTCATCGCGGCTCGTTGCTACGTGTTTGTCAAATCATGTCGCAACTTCATGGAATTGTATCAATATTACTCTTGATGGTCAGAATTATCGGGAGTGGGCTTTCTATGTTGAAACAGTGTTGAGGGGTTACGGTTTGGCTTTTCACTTGACTGATGAAGGACCCGAAAGGAAGGCCGATAATAGCAATGCTGCCGAAATCAAAATATGGCAGATCAATGATGGAAAAGTGATGGCTGCCATCGTGAACAGCGTCAAGCAGTCCATGATTATAGCCTTTCTTCATTTCGGACAGCCAAAGGGATGTAGTCCTATTTGCAGCAGTGCTATGTTCAGGATAGTGTTGCTCTCTTACACATCCTTATACAACAAATTCACGTGATTGAACAGAACTCCATGTCCATTGATGAATACTACTCTGTTTTTGATCGTTTGATGGGACCATTGATCTCTATGGTACCTCAGTGCTCGGCGGAGGAGTGTTCAGCACATAATTTTGTTGAGAAATTCTTTATTTATCGCTTTCTCATGGGAGTCAGAGCAGAATTTGAGTCCATTCGTACACGGTTGCTTCATAACTCCTCTTCTACTCTGACCATGGCACATGCATTATCTGAATTGATTGCTGAAGAGACTCGTCTCCATTCTTTGTCAGTTGCTCCGTCGTCTGTATCACAGAGTGTTCTGGCAGCTCCTCAAAGGATATTTTCTCAACGGCTTAGTGCACCGAGAGGTGACTCTCCAGAACCCTGTAAGCATTGTGGGAAGACCGATCACAGTCACGAGAATTGTTTACTCAGTATCCAGAAAAGTTAGCTGAGTGTCGTGCGCGTCGTGCTGCCGGGCTCGTGGTACGACTTCTGCTACAAAGGGGTCTGTTTCCGTTTCTGTCGCTGCTGCCTCTCCTGGCCATGCTCCTCAATCTTGGGTCCTCGATTCTGAAGCATCTTTTCATGTGACATCTGATCACTCCCAGTTGGTTGCCTGCAAGGCAGCCCCCGATGGTGCTTCTATTCAGACAGCTAGCTGATGGCACTTCTTGCCATATCACTCACGAGGGTTCTCTCTGCAATTCTCATTTTTCAGTGCCTAATATCTCTTATGTTCCCAAATTATCTATGAATCTTCTTTTCGTTGGTCAGGTCACTGATCAAATTTTTTTGTTGGATTTGATGATTCATCTTGTTTTATTCAGGATCGTTGAAGCGGGACTGTGATTGGGACTGGCCATCGCCGTAAAGGTTCTCCAAGCCTCTACGTGTTAGACACTTTACATCTTCCCACTGGTTCTATCGCTCGTGTGTCATCCATTGCCTCGTCTTCCACATCATCTTTTGCCAAAGGGGCATCATCGTCTTGGTCATTTGAGTGGCTCTCGTTTGTCTACTTTGATTAGTACTGGTTGTTTAGGTCGTACATCTATCGAGTCTAGTTTTCATTGTAAGGGTTGCAAGCTCGGAAAACAGCTGCAACTCCCATATCCTACTAGTATTTCTCATTCTGCTAGACCTTTTGATCTTATTCACTCTGATGTATGGGGTCCGTCCCCTTTTTCTACAAAAGGTGGCAATAAATACTATGTTCTTTTTATTGATGACCAATCTCGATATACTTGGGTTTATTTTATGAAACATCGTTCTCAGTTGTGTTCCATTTATAATGATTTTGTTCGCATGGTTCATACTCAGTTTTCTACTCCTATTCGAGTTTTCCGTTCTGATTCTGGTGGTGAGTATATGTCTAACAATTTTCGTCAATTTTTGACTTATGAGGGCACTCTTGCCCAGCTCTCTTGTCCTGGTGCACATACTCAGAATGATGTTGCAGATAGAAAACACCGCCATCTCATTGAGACTGCGAGTTTTCCGTTCTCATTGCCTCATTTGTTCCTTCTCATTTTTTTTTTTGGGAGAAGCTGTGTCTACAGCTGTTTATCTAATTAACCGACAGCCGTCTTCCAAACTGTCTGGTAAGTGTCCTGGTGAGGTTCTTTTTGGTATTCCCCCTAGCTATGATCATCTTCGGGTTTTCGGATGTACATGCTATGTATTGCTTGCTCCTCTTGAGCGCACTAAACAGTCAGTTGAGTGCGTCTTTTTAGGATATAGTTCTGAGTATAAGGGTTATCGTTGTTATGATTCTTCCGCTCGCCGCATGCGTATATCTCGTGATGTAACTTTTGTCGAGGATCGTCCTTTCTTTTATATCCCATCCACTCCTCCCACAACTTCTTCTTTTTCAGAGTCTACGTTATTTTGGATGTGCCTCCACCGTATAAACAACCCATCACACAAGTCTATACTCGTCGTTTCAAAGGTCACACAACTCTTCCACCTCATTCTACTCCATTGGCCAGTCCTGATGCTCCCGTCCTAGATGATTCTGATGTGTCACATGCCATTCCTGAGGAATCTGAGGTTGGTCAAAGATATAATTTACGTGATCGTGCTACTATTGTTCCTCCTGATAAGTTGGGCTTTCCACGTGCGGGTGCTATTATTGATGAGCCTTCAACATATCAGGAAGCTTCGAGTATTCTAGAGTGGCAACTAGCTATGTCAGAGGAACTTTTTGCCCTTAATTGTACTGGCACTTGGGATCTTGTTCTGTTACCATCGCATGCCGTGCCTATCACCTGTAAGTGGGTCTTTAAGATTAAGACCAAGTCAGATGGTTCCATTGAGAGATATAAAGCTCGTCTTGTTGCTAGAGGCTTTCAGCAGACTCAGGGGCGATATTATGATGAGACTTTTGCTCCCGTTGCTCACATGACTACTGTTCGTACTTTAATTGCAGTGGCCGCTACTCGTTCCTGGACCATATCTCAGATGGATGTGAAGAATGCTTTCCTTCATGGTGATTTGCACGAGGAAGTTTATATGCAGCCACCACCGGGTGTTGATGCCCCCTCTGGACATGTTTGTTGTCTTCGTCGCGCATTATATGGTCTCAAACAGGCTCCTCGTGCTTGGTTTGAGCATTTTGTTTTTGTCATACGGGCTGTTGGTTTCTCCCCTAGTGATCATAATCTTGCTTTGTTATTCATCTCTCTTCACGTGGGCGTACTCTACTTCTTCTATATGTTGATGATATGTTGATTACTGGAGATGATGAACAGCATATTTCCCATGTTAAGATGCAACTTGGTCAACAATTTCAGATGTCTGATTTGGGTCCCCTTAGCTAGTTTTTGGGCATTGAGGTGATGCATTCTGTCTTGGGCTATTACCTTTCTTAGTCCAAATACATACATGACCTTCTTATTCGTTCCGGTATTAGTGATAATCGGACAGCGGTTACACCTATGGATCTTCACTTACAGCTTCGTCCTACTGATGGTAGTCCTCTTGAGGATCCCTCTCGCTATCGCCATATTGTAGGCAGTCTTGTTTATCTTACTGTTACCAGGCCTGACATTGCTCACGCAGTTCATATATTGAGTCAGTTTGTGAGTGCTCCTACTTCTTGGGCATTTGCTTCGCGTGTTACGATACTTAAGGGGAACATCAACCCAGTGTTTATTTTATGCTCGTGATAGTCCTCTTCAACTTCATGCTTACTCAGATTCTACCTGGGCGAGTAATCCATCTGATCGTCTCTGGTTATTGCATTTTTCTTGGTTCTTCTCCCCTTACATGGAAGTCCAAGAAGCAGGCAGCTGTATCTCGATCTAGTACATAGGCCGAACTTCGAGCACTTGCTACTACCACTTCAGAAATTATATGGCTTCGATGGTTGTTAGCCAATTTTGGTATTCCATGTGATGATCCTACGCCGCTCCTTTGTGATAATACTGGAGCAATTCAAATTGCCAATGATCCAGTAAAGCATGAACTTACAAAACACATTGGTGTTGATGCTTCCTTTACCCGATCTCACGCAGAAAACAATTATTCTTCAGTATGTGCCGTCAGAACTGCAAGTGGTTGTTTTTTTCACCAAAGCACAAACTAGAGAGCAACATCGGCTTCACTTGCTCAAACTCCATGCTTCGGATCCTCCACCTCCACCTTGAGTTTGAGGGGGGTGTTAACTATATATTATAGGCCCAGCCCATATTGCTTAAGGCCCTAAGTCTTTAAGGCCCTAAGTCTATATACATGTGGCTATCCTCACTTGTGCACATTCATGCATCCAAAACCCTAAGGTTTGTAACAAAAGTACCATACCACCACCAAGTATTGGAAGTCGTATGAAACACAAATTAGAAACAACATTAATTTAACTTTTTTCATGGTGCTTTGCCTGCTCCATAAATATTTAAATATTTTTATAAAAAACGGGGGTAGGCTAACGTGAGTGAAAGTGATATGCTTGACCATACAAAAACTACTACTCGGAGTGCTTGAACGTTACAATATAAAATGACTTTGAATTAATGTGAAGTATCTTATAATAATAACAAGGTGCTGAAAAATAATTAGAGGATAAGATTGAATTTGAAAACATAAAGTGAAAGTTTCAAATTTTATTTCAATTAAGGTTGCAACTAGGTTCTAGGCTAAAGGCTTAAGAACAAGGTGGCAGACTCGACCCAGCTCATTACTTCATTTTTTATTTTGGCTGGGATTTTGAGAGTTGGGCTGAGGACTATTGATTTCAACTGAGGGTGTCTTCTGCGCCCTTTTNTAAACAATCTTTTAATTTGGGTTGAAATATCATGGCCAGAAGTATTTGGAAATGTGATGATCTTGAGTTAATCGAGGAAAGAGAAAAAGATGACTGTGAAATTTACCTTTTGAAACTGGTAAAAATCCGACTGGGAGAAAAAAGAAAAACTACATTTGATTGATATAGTGGGTTCCAATTGATTGGACACTGTTTTAAAAGGTAGCAGTAACTGCTGATTGTGGAGAAATAATAGAGGTTTAGGTGAGGAACAGACAGCATCAAGAATTATTAGAGTGTAATCAGAGCGCAAACTCTCACCTCAATTTTCAAAGTAAATTGGTAGGCTTGATGCGTTCTTGAGTTTGGGCTCTTACTTAAGATTTTTAAATTGTTCCAAATAATATACTTTAAGTATAGATAATTATTAGATTATAAAATAATAAATTAATTAAACAGTAGTATATTGACGTTAAGTTATTGATTTCATAACATATATCAGGATTGAAGATAATCTTGGCTTGATAAGTTAAATCTTTGTAAGTGTGTATACTTTGCATGTGCAGTTTCCCATTATATCTTTTTGCAGTTTGTCCATGAACATCACTTTTGTATATTCGAGGGAAATTACATTGCTAGCCGGTTAATATTCAATAGCATTATTTAGTTTTATCGTTTCTTACTAGCTTTTGGTCTTGTTAAAATAGTGAAATAATACTTATTTAATTTATTATGCAGTCTGATGTGTACAAGTGGTGGAAGCCTAGCTGGAAACTTTATAGGGAGTTTGCAAGAGCTATAAAGTTTGCTCCAATAATATTCTGGGGTGTACTAGGGTATGTTCTCAAGAGCTATTAAGTTTGCTCCAATAGTATTCTGAGATGTACTAGGGTGTGTTCTCCTGTATAAGATTGTGCTACTGGTTTTTAGATAGTTTCTGATACAACCTTCTTGTTTCTGTTCTTTAGAAACTGATTTAGCATCTGCTTCGATACATATTTTTCTTATTTCCATGATGAAAGTATTAGAAATAAAATTGAGGTAGCGCCCATAGAGGAGAAAATGAGAGAATCACGATTAAGATGGTTTGGGCATGTGCGTAGGAGAGACTTCGAGGCCCCGGTGAGAGCGGTAGAAACATTAGGATTAAAAACTCAAACTAAAAGGGGGAGGGGTAGACCTAAGAAAATTTTGAAGGAAACACTAAAAAATGATTTAAAATATTTAAATTTGAATGAGGATATGTGTTTTAATTGAGCACGATGGCGACATGCGATCCATATAGCAGACCCCACTTAGGTGGGATTTTAACGGCTTCTTGTTGTTGTTGTTCTTGTATGTAGAAAGTGATTTGGCATCTGCTTCTGCATCATAGTTTTGGGCTTTAGGATTTAGTTTTGATGTTGAAGAAGTTAACGGTGTCGAGTTATACAGGTATAGGCTTGTCATTTCCCCATAATCTTTAGATGTATGGTCTATTACTTAATCCTCTACCTATTTAACCTTCTACCTAATTGATCATTGTCTTTCCATTGTCCACCCTGTTGTAGACACTTTTCTTATAAAGAGATCCGAGTACTAACTATATTATAGCCCAACCCATATATACTTATGGCCTTAAGTCAGATATATATATGGTCATCTTCATATGTGTATCATTTATTCGTCCAAAAACCAAAAACCCTAAGGTTTGTAACATGGTATCACAACCATATATATAAATATATTTTCCGATCTCACCTCCCACATCACAACCAAAAACTCTAAGGTTTGCCCTTTTTCAGAATCGTCACTTGTTAGGGTTAGGGTTCGTGTACTCTAATCCCTCCGGACTGTCGGTGTCTTTTTGGGGTATAGTCTTGAGCATAAGGCTTGTTGTTACGATTCTTCAGCTCGTCGAATTTGTATATCTCATTATGTAACTTTTGTCGAGGACCGTGCTTTCTTTTATAACCCTTCTACACCACCAAACATCTTCTTCTAGAGTTTACGTCCTTCTGCTCCAAGAAGCCTTGAAATTATCAGATGATCCTCTGCTTGAGAATAGCACACTTGTATGTCTCTGATTGATACTTGCTCCTCTGGAAAGATCTAATTGTGCTAATAATTTGGTTGGTCAGACTGTTGAGCATGGTATTCCGTTGTCTGATTGACAGCAAATAACCATCTGCGTTATCATGGAGGTGAATTTTCTATATTTTTATTTCATTCTTCTTGTTTTGAAAATTCAGTCTTTTGTTGATTCCCTACATATTCAGAAGGATAGTTCGTTGATTTCAGTGGATTCTTTCGTTCTTACTTTTTAGTGCATTTTTTGTGCAGACCTCAACTTAGTTATCACTTCAAGTGTTTGAGGGGCGTATAAGTATTTTTTGTCAAGTAGAACTGATTGTTTTAGTTTTACTGGAATTGGCTTAATGTTATTCTTGTCTGTCCTTTGTTAATCAGGCTTGAGAAACATTTCCCTCATTATTCCACCTCATCCCGTGTGAAAATATTTTGATGGGAAAAGTGAAATATATAAAATTTTCCATTTCCATACTATTGATTGTTTTCCCCTTTTTATGGTTCACCTGCAGTTCACCTCTACCGTTTAGGCATCCAATGCATGTGGTGGTTGGTCGGCCAATTGTAGTCGAGAAGAATCCACAACCGACAGTGGAAGAGGTAACCTTTACGTAGACATTTTACGCAAATAATTCTTTTCATTGCCTGTAACTGGTAATAATTCATTCGCCTTAGTTCAATTTTCAAATTTCACTTGATTTTTTTCTGCTTCTTACAATGTTAAGATCTGATCCGAAATTTTGAGTGTTATTGGATATAAAAAAGTTCCAGTTTCGTCTGGTCGGACAAATAATTTTTCATTGACATAAAAATTGGATATAAAACATTGTCCTAAAGTACTATTCAGTCCATCTCGTGTTTTCCTTCAATCTCATCAACATAATTTAAAATAACATCATTGCTATGCATTTTTTGCATTTTGAAACAAAAATGTAGTCACATTCGCATATTTGTAACCAACAATCTTTACCAATCAATATTTTTTTATTTTTGCATCAACTTGAATCATTACATTTTATTTTATATCCATTCACTATCTAAAAAATGTTCCCTTCCAATTTTTTTTCCCAACCTTTCCATGGCGTAGCTGAGACAAAGTTTTGGATTTTTCAAATGGCCTCCTGACTTTTGAGTTAACATGAACACACATCATGACTTTCTTAGTTTTAGAAGGCTGGCTAACTATGTGTAAGACTCTTTAACACGGGATGTTAGCCAAGCTCCAATTGGTAGCTTTTGAGGTCTTTTTTTTTTTTTTTGGTACAGTTGAGGCCTTTTTATTAATGGCTTTAGCGTTCTGGTAACTTTATTATATCTCACGATGCCTGTTTTATGAACTGATAGTAAATATCCACGTAGAAGTGTTACATTGGAAACGAACTACGAATTTCCAATATTCACATTAACATAATGCATATCCTATTTCCAAAATTTGAATAATAAATAAGTAAATGCTCGCCAACAGGACATCTGCAGATTCCTCATTTCCTACTTATTTCTCCCAACTTATTTGATATCCTTCTTATTTTTGAGAATCAGATATCTTCTGTCTGTGGAGGCTATTGCAATTTTCTTTTCCTTTAAGGCTTGTTAATATGTTCTGAAAGAAAATTTTACTACTTGAAACAATCTCCATTTTTTTTAGCTTTCCAGAATCTGCAGATTAGCATTAAGATAGGTTAAGAGATAATTTCTTTGCCATGAGGATAGTTGTTGGTCCCTGATCTTTCTTTCCTTGTAATTCGTTTAGGTTGATAAAGTCCATGCCCAGTTTGTTGAAGCACTTAAAGATTTGTTTGAAAGGCACAAAGCAAGGGTTGGTCATGGTGAACTACAGCTGAGAATTCTGTAATATCAGCTTGCGTCATTGGATTTATAGTTGGTGCTCAGCTGTTGCAATACGTAAAATAATAAAAAATAAATAAATTATATTTGTAGCAGGACTGTTTTATAAAGCCACGCCAACTTTGATTGAAGGGGAAATTGTGCTACGCTTGAACATGAAGTTGTATCGCCCATTCTTTAAGTTACAAGGCTGAAACACAAATTTCGATATAATTGGACACAAATTTAATTCCAAGTATTCGACACAAATTTTCAAAACAATCGTTTGTTTCATGAGCTTAAGCTTAATTGTTGCAACATTTTCTTTCGAAATTAATGGAGTCATCTCAATTCAAAACTCCAACAAAACTCACTGCTACTGCTATACGGAGAGTTACTAAGGACTTGCTTGTTTATCAAATAATTCGTTCAATGAGTTATTTTGGTTAACTGTAGTTAATTTTGAAAAATATGATATAATTAGTTAGTAGAATTTTAAGAATGTATTAAAATAACATTTAAAAAAAATAATTAAAATTAATTTGATGTAAAAGTGGAAGATAAATGATTGGAATGATAAATAATTAAAATTATGTGAGTTGATGAATAGTGAATTAAAGTTGATGTAATGTATAAGAATTGTTAATTTGTATTAGAGTATCTTTAGTGGGAGGTTTGATAAGAGGTTTAAAAACATAAATATCAAGGTTTATCCAGAGGTTTGAGGTTTGTATATATAAGAGAAATTTACTTCCTTTACAGGCTATTGACTAAATAATATCACATTTACGAGTACACAAAATTTTTATCAAATTTACGTGTGTAATTAAAATAATGTTAATAGGTCAAGCGGTTAAATTGGTTGGCACGGGCGCGGCGTGAGGAGGGCATGGCATGGCGCGAGGGAAATCAGCACTCCCGAGGTCGCGGTCGTGTCCGCGCGCGCGGACGGGCAGTTGGGAGAATACTCTCGAGCTCGTGGAATCTCCCGAGGGCGCGGGCGCGGGGAATTCGGCACTCGCGAGGTCGCAGAGCAACTCGCGCGCGCGGGCGTGAGGAACGGGGGCACTCACGATGTCGTCAGCTTATCCGCAGGTCACGGGCTTCCAGAGCTGCGGGCATCGCGCGTCCGCGAGGTGTGGGAGACGACGCGTGGTCGCGAGTGTGCTAACAGCTGGGCGTCGTTCCTCCGCGAGTGCACGGCTCGGGGCGCGAGGGCGCGAGTGTTGTGTCTTAATCGATAAGGACTCGAAATACTCGGATTGGAAATGGCTCGTACGAATTGGCTCGAAACTTCTCGGGATTCTTTGGAAAATGCTCGTCTCTCGGGACTCGGTTCGACTTTTCTCATCCGTCCTCTAAATAATCCTGAAATTCCACCAAAAAGCACGGAAAAGTACGCCAAAATATAAAAATAAAAAGACAGACATAAAAACACACAAAACACGATAAAATGGACCGGTCGACACTAAAATGAACCTAAAAAGACTAAACTAAAGCATATAAAACATATGAAAATAAGCACAAAAACACAATAAACAACTACTTATTCTGATGCAATAGAATTTTGTGAAGATTGAGCACACTAGTCTATATGTATTTAATGAAATTCATGTGGGGGATTGTTAAAAATATATGAGTTTCATTAATAGATGTGTGTCCCACCATTATAATTTATTAAACCAATTTGGCCAATTTGCAACTCAATACGCGTGAAGATTCCTCTGTCATTTGGCCACATGATCCCTATCAAACTTGTCAACTTGCCTTAATATTTTTTTCTGTAATAATTGAGTATGGCCAGACAATAACTTTATGGCCAGGCATTAACTGCTCTCTCTCTCTTCTATAAATGTTGTTCATTTTGCTGATAAAAGAAAGACACAAAAAGAAAGAACAACGGAAGAAAAAGTAGAGAGAAGAGAAAAGCAGATATAAAAATTATCTGTCATCAAAATAGCAAAATAGAGATAATTTTATTCATATTAAGTCCTCAATTCTTGACTTCGTTCCAGTTCGCCGGAGCTCGTAAATCTGATGTGCTACAGATTTTGAGACGATTGCCGTTGTATCTTTGGGGACGATACGCCTGAATTGTTAGTACTACACAGGGCGTATTCATCTTGCAGAAAAAGTATACTCGCCTCGGCTATAATCTTTCTGTTTTTTAAAGTTGTAATTTATTTTCAGTTTCATTGTAATTTTCTATTTTTAGATCATTTGTAAAAACTAAAAATACATATCAGTTCGTAGGATCCCGTGTATTTTCGACACCCTATTTTTTAAAAAATCGAAAACAATTAATAAATTAGTAAATCGAGGTTGTTTTTTTTTAAAATGTTTAGTACTAATAAATTAGTTTAGCTATTAATTTTAATAAATTCTTATAAATTTATTTCCTAGAATTTTAATTTTCACTATTGCAAATTTTTTGTTGTAATTGCATAATATCAATATGTAATAAAAAAGTATATTTTTTTATGTTTTTTATAAAATTATATAAAAAATAATAGTTGAAAATAATAGTAACGTTTAACAAAATATTGGCATGCGTTGAGTTGTCACTTGTCAAACATCAAGATAAAGCTGAATTTTTAGCTTCATTTGTGGGATGGGTAAGGTCCTTGATTTGTGTGATAGTAATATAGTATTGTTATCTTCAGTTGTCCATATGTAAGCTAATTCCCGACTATAAAACTATGGGTAGCTTTCTGTAAATCTAAAACACACATCTTCATTTTAGTGTAGAAGTGGTAATAGATCGAAACTCAAATTTATCTAATTTCAATGTGGCTAATTCATAACTTTTACTCTGGAACGAGTCATTCAACCCTCAAATTAACCTCAGTTAAATTCAAAACCCAAGCACGAAGAGGTCCGAACAACAAATCCATCTTGAAGACTAAATCTAAGTTCAAAAAGGAAAAAATTCAGATATTATATCCGTATTATCATTCGATCAATAAACTTAAAGTTAGTGCAAAAGTAATATATTTTCGCATTACATTTGTTGTTACGACAAGAAAGAGGAAAAAATGAGCCAAGACCTTGAAAACCAATTACTCCTACCATACAAAGAAGCCCTATAAATTTTATAATATTATTACGTCTTTTTTTTTTTAATGTCATTTTGGCTTTATCAACAATTAACCAAATAAATGACGTCTTGGAGCTTTTGTACATATTTTTCCATTATTACCCTCATCTAGCTAATAAATACTTTTCATATTTACTATTAATCTTTTCTCAAAACATCCATCTCTATCCTCATTAATGAGGGTTATTATTTGAAAAAAAAATCTTAATTACTGTGCAGCTTTTCAAAATGACACTTATTAAAGAGAGAGTATCAATTATTATTGGTTCTTGTTCCAAAAAAAGAAAAAAAAAAGAAAAATATAAATGAAAGCTACATTGTCATGTCATGTTTTGTGTTACCAGGTGGGGTATGCAGAGAGATTAGCAAGCTGATAGCTAAATTCTGGTGGAGCAAAGGGGATGTACAAAACCCGGGTATGCACTGGAAGGCTTGGGATAAATTGTTTGTACCAAAAGAGGCTGGAGGGCTTGGTTTTCAAGACATCTTTATTATGAACAAGGCACTCATTCTGAAGCAGATTTGGAGAATTTGTTCTAAAAAAAAGCTACTGGTGAGTCAAGTGCTTAAACATAAGTATTTTCATTCCACTTCTATTTTTGAGGCAAAAAAAGCTCAGGGAGCCTCTTGGTTATGGAATACCTGGGCTAGATTTATACCTTTGTTGCAGAAGAATGTTAAGGTGATAATCAGGAATGGCACCAATACAAGCATTGATGAATACAATTGGGTTCCTGGGTTAAATGGGGGTAGGCCTGCTCTGAAGGTAAATATTGATTCCTCTCTGTTTACAGTGAATGATCTTATGTGCAATAGTGGTCTTTGCTGGGATGAGAACCTTGTTAGAATTCTGTTTCGTGATAGTGATGCTTCTGAAATACTGAATATAAGAGGACTGAATCCAAGGGGCGAGGACTTATGGTTGTGTCATTTTTCTGTGAAAGGGAACTTCTCAGTTCATGCTGCCTATAATTCTATGATTAATGAGAAGATTTGTGTGGTATCTGAACCAGAATGTAGCAACATGGCTGTGGGCAACTGTAGAGCTAGAAGTAGGTGTTGGAAATTGAAAGTTCTACCTAAGGTCAAACACTTTATATGGAGATGTTTTAATAACATATTACCTGTTAAAGGGAACTTGCAGAGAAGGGGCCTGGACATCAATTCAATGTGCACACTGTGTGGAGAAGGGGTTGAAACTCAGGAGCATTTGCTGTTCCAATGTTATAGAGCTAAACTGGTGTGGAGGTTAGCACAAGTGAGTTGGAGTAAACTGCCAGAAGAAAACTTCCCCTTCAAAAATTGGTGGTGGTGGCTGAGCTCCCTAAATGCAGATGAGGTGTCTGAAGATCGAATACAATTGACCACATACATATTATGGTGGTTATGGAGGGCGCGAAATCTCTGGATTTTTGAGCAAACTTGGCAAACAGAGAGGGAGATTCTTAAAGCAACAGCTAGAGATTGGTTGGACTTTAAAGGGGAGTCAATGGCAAATTGAGCAGCAGTGATGAGAGGTACCTAGGTCTAGTGTCAGTTGGTGCTGTCTTCTTATTTTTGCTGTTTTCAGTTATGCTGTTTCCCTGTGTATTGAGTTTGGTAGGTTTGTAACAGGGTGTAGTACTGCTCTGATATGGTCATCCATCTCTGTTTGTGGGTTTAGCTGTGTTGTTCTTGGTATGGATTATGTAGGTTGTCCGGTTATAGGCATCACTTGTTTGTGTATGTCCTCTCAGTTGTATAACTCGGCTTTTGGCTGCTTTGTACTTATTATTCTTATGGAATGAGATATAGTTTCTGTCGTTTGAAAAAAAAAAAAAATTGCGGCGATTGTTGCAACTTTCGGCGTAAGAACTAGTGACAAACATATATTATACATTTATATATATGGATACATAAATTATTATAATAATAAAATGCTATATTTACATATATATTTTTTTCCAAATTAACATATGGGTAGACGTTTTGAAAAAAGGGCAATATTTACATATGTTATTTTCCAAATTCCAACAAAATATTTTCTGATTTATTTACATAATAAATTGTGTGTCCAACAACACTATAAAACATACAGTTTTGATTTCAGCGCAAGAAGTATTGACTTCAGCGCAAGCCNAAACCAATTATACATAAAATACACGCAATTACAACAAAACAAGAACATACATAGCTTCAACTTATAATGCAGTGCCTTTCAAGCTGCAGGTTGCTCAACAGCAGAATGGGGCTCCATAGCTACTAGGTCCAGTTCTTCATCAGAATCGATAACATCTTCGAAATCGTAATAAGGATTCACCTGCCAAAATCTGATTTAGAAAACGGATATTTCTTTCTTCATAATTAAAATTCTAAATTCTAAGTTGCGTGAACATGGGTAATTTTTATACTACTTCCATGATAACAAGCATGCAGAAAATCTGGGATTTCCTAGAACTCAAACGATATATGGTGATACTATAGTTCTACAGCCAAACAATCACACTCAACATGAAAAGTATTTTCTCCATCTATTTTTTTCTTTCAAAACTTATATTTGCTTCTCTTAATTCATAATCACCACCATTTCTCAAATCTGTTTTTTTCCTGGATCAGTTGGATAAGTTACCTTCGGTCTTGGATTAACAGCTTCAAAGCTATGGAATATGGGTGTGTCAAAGTGTGGGGGTTCCAAGACAATATATGCCCCTTTGTTTCGGTATCTCTCTTCTGTTGCCTGAAGTAGGAAAANAGAAAAAAAAAAAAAAACAGTTCTGATTCAATTTATATCTATCAAAGATAGCCTTTACATCAGTTCGGTCTAGCGATCTACAGTGTATAAATGTGTGTATATTATCAATATCTCAACAGAAGATAAAGTGTACAGGATATAGTTTCATGATCTGGATTGGTCTGTGAAAAAGTGTGAGTGAACATAATTGAGTCAAAGGCTGATAACATAATTCCATTTTTATGCTGGCCTCACATATTCTACTTTGACTATATTGGGAGCTTTATCTCATGGTTAGTTTTGAGTATTTAATTTGTCAAAATTGAAATTATGTTCCATTCCTTTTCCTATGATTCTATCTCTGGTAGCAGTGTGAAGGAAAGGGAAACGACACAACATGCTTTGAACATTCATTCTTCTACTAGTTTAGCTCGCAGTGCACATGCTTAGAACTGGCTCTTCCCAAGTTTGATTTGTTCTTTGATTTCAATCAAAATGATAAAATTCAACTTTGTTCATGCCATAGTCATATTTTTCTTTTCTCTTTATCTACTGATTCCTACACTATGGGCTTACCCAATTTCAAAGTTTCACATACTAAGAGGTTTGAGCACAAGAAAATTTAGGTAAGGTTTTGTATGCGACATCGAAAATCTATATCTATATCTATAATCTACAACTCTCATAAAAGTAGTTGTTTGTTGAAAAAATTGGATTGCCAAAAATGTCCTTCACTAGAATTGATTTCTAATGTCACTAATGTAATCTTATCACTAATGTTAGGGAGTTACAATTATTAACACTAGTGCATAACCCGTGCGATGCACGGTACACATATATTAAATGAGTCATTTCTATAGGGCTTGTACGTTTTGACAAAAAATNACAATATATATTTATTCATCGATATAAATAAAAAATAAAAATTATACTTATTCTTGTTCACCATATAATACTCAATCATTATTTTATTATAATATTTATTGTCATATAATGTCATTATTATTATTTATAAAGGTCATAGAAATAGCCCTCTTCTTCTTAGTTTATGTAATGAAATTTAAAATAAAATTTTGTGTATAAATGTTTACAAAATACACACACATGTTTTTTAGAATTTTATTTTTTCATAATAATTAAAAAAAAAAATGATTTAGCAAATTTCCAAATAATAAACCCTTACATAATCAAGAAATTTTTCTAGTTTGCATCTAGAAGGCTTTATTAGTTTATTTAATATACTATGCAATATAAATATATATGTTCTAATAAATTCATTATGGAAACAAATAAAAATAAAAAAAAAATGATAAAATTATCATGGTTGAAAATAATATACAAATCCATGTTGAAATTATAAAAAATAGTTAATATATTTTAATTTTATTCTAGTCATTAGTAAATTATTTAATGATGTAATCATTATCTCTTAAATAGTAAATTATTTTAATTTGAGAAAATAATTTGTTTCTATATAACTAAGTAAAGGTTAAAAAATATTATCGAAAAATATTAATTCACCAACTTGATTTCCCTTAATTAGTTAAAGGAGAAAATTATTTAACATGTTACGATTGTTTATAAATATTTTAGAATGAAAGTCAACATTTGTGAAAAAAATTTAAAATTTGTTTTCATGTTTATGTTGTCAAAATATTATCAACATGAATCACGGAAATCAAATTATAGTTTACGAATGGATATCAATAAAGTTATTGCAGATGTTAATAAAATTATTTAAGGAAAAAATCTTTTTGATCATATATGATTTAGAAATGTGTATATGAAAACAATTAATGCATATATTTAAAAAATTTCTAAATAAGATATACATTAAATGCTCCCAAATTTTTTTGCTACTATTTTTAGTAAATAGTTATTCTTTTTATATAGATATAGATATAGATTCATTTTTCAATAAAATTTTGTTCATTTCTCAGTAAAATTAAATTGAAAAATATTAGTATCAAGTACATATGTTTAAAAATGATAGAAGCCAAAGTATAATCCTCCTATATACCTAATATAATTTTTTTAATTTAAAATATTTATTTATTTAGTAAAAGAATATATAATCCAACAATAGAAATAGCTTTTATAAATTTTTAATTATTATAAAAAACATTGCCGATCATATTATTTAATTTATCTCATAATATTAAGTTAATTAAATAATAAATGGATAACATTATTGTTTATGGTTAATAAGGTTACTTTTGCTTTCACATATAATTAAAATTTTAGAAGACTCTGAATAATATAATTTAAGTTCAACTTTCAATAATACATATAACATAAATATTTTTCTATAATAATGTGTTGGGTTTATATATCCTTTATTTTAATTTTTTCACGAATATAACAAAAAAATTACTATAAAAAACAAAACAAACTAACAAATATGCAACGAAATCATAAATTTGTTATATACATCCAATTGCTACAAAATAGTTACCATTAGAATCATTTAAATGAAAATGATGAATATGTTTACTTTACATTCGATGTAAGAATCAGTGTTATTTGTGACATTATTCATGTCATATTCATTCAAAAATTGTTATGCCTCACTTTTTTGAAAGCAAAAAAATAATAGAGAAAAAGTAATCATTATTAACACTATTATGGTACCTAGGGCCTTGAAATGATGCAAATTGAGAAAGGTTAAGATACTATATTGATAGAAATTGTATCAAGGTGCATCATCCTTTCGCAATGAGCTCATATAAGATCCAAAGTTATTGTTTGGACCAATGCATGTTAAGATAAAAATATTTTTTATTGTTTGGACTATCAATTTATAAGTCATTGAACCCTTTTTCAACGTGTAAGATAGTCTTGAATTTCCATATACATAAAAAGAGTAGTGCACATGCAATAATGTTCGATAAACACATTGGTTGTTTATATTTTGTTATATGTATTAAGTATCTTCAATCATGTTATTATTCACAAATATTTTTCAAATAAATATTTATATTTTATATCATTACATCTTTGGGAAAAAAAAAAGTATCTAAATATTCATAAAGATTATCCATACAACGCAACATTAATTAGCTTTGAATTACAATACATTCATATATATTAGCATAAAAATATTGGGTATTATTAAAGATGAACTTAAATATTATTATTCTGAATCTTTTTTCTTAATAAGTTAGAAATAAAAAAAAAAAATCTATTAATAGTATATATATTTTTTACTTAAGGAAAAACAAAATTAAAATAAAATTTACATTTTTGTATAATGCAAGATTATTTTTGGCTTAAATCATTCACATAAATATATCAAATCTAGACGACGTTGATTAAGACTGAATTAACAGCTAAATCTAATCGCTAACCGTGACAACAAAGGAAGATATAAAAAATTTCACAAATATAAATAACGACAAATGAGACTTAATTAAAATTTCAAACAATGATTTCGAACAATGATGAAACAATGGTGAAGACAATATTAATTAAACAGATAAATGAAACTTCGTTAGCAATCAACAATCATTGAAAAATTGATTGGTTTCATTTTGAATTTTCAACACATATTTAAGTATTTATTTTTATTTAATTATATCTTTAGTTAATACCATTAAAGATTATGTTTCATGCCAATATATTTATATAATTTTTTATATATGTCTTTCTTCTTTTATTAAACTAATTGGAAACTTGAATTTCAAGCATAAATTCAATAAAATATAACTTTTAAATCATAAAAAATATTAATAATCACGTGCAACACGCACGCGCAACTTCCTAGTAATTAAAGGAGCTACATTCTAAGGAAAGTATTCAGGATTAAACCAAATTCCAAAGAGGAGTTGCATAAGGCACCAAAGCTACCTGAAATTGTGGATAATCTGGGGCACTGAATAATGTGATTAGCTTCCCAGATTCTACAGTGTGATCGATAGTATACCCTAAATCCATTCCACCAAGATCAGGTCGTTTATCCCTAGCATCAGGACCTTCATGTGACCTGATAATCAACTACAACAGGAAAATGCATCTTAAATAGTAATATCAAATTCATCATATCATTCCAACTACGTAGTACACAACATAAAAACAACTTGAGTCTCAAATTTAGGACTTCCCAGGATTGAAATAGTTGCAGTGAAGAAGAGGACACAAGATTTTTATACCATTTCATAGTCCTCAACCTTGAACCAACTGCAATTTTGTGATTTATAGGAAAAAAACTAATTCTTTTACTTCGTGGGAGCAGTTTTGTATTTTAAGAAACCCAACATGCTCTAGACACTCAACAATAAGTGCTTCACATCTCTTGATGCCCATGCTGTTACTAATCAGAAAAGTAATCAAAACTGCTTCATAGTCAACAACTAGCTACTAATAATGTTAACAGCAGCTGCCAATAGATATGTAGAACTAGGTAACATTCCACAATTACATCAAAACTGTGAGAAGTCAAGTATAATGATGAAAAGAATGCTATAACTGCAATTTAAATACGAGGATGAATGTTGGTCGGCTGGCAAAGGGGTGAGGTTTGTGTTGACAATGTACTAAAGACGACACAGGCAGCTCGACAAGCCTTTCAGAGATTACTTTCTACATAATTGTACTTCAATCCTTCAAATAAAATACATTTTATTTCATCTAGTACAGAACTAAAATATTAATGGTGTTAACCACTAGTACTCACACAAGAGTTGCACGCCAAGGTGAACATACACATTACAGAACGTTGTTTGTTGACTTTCGATTATGATGATCCAGCAATGTTGAAGCCTAAATCATAAAAATTTCATGGATTTTAAGTTTATACTCCTTCCCTACTCAAACATAGAAATTTAATGGATTTTCAAGTTTTTTACTCCCTTCCCTTCTCAGACCAATCTCCCTACCAAACCCCTATGCCCACCTCAAACAAACAAAGGAAGAAGTGCATTTGAAGATGTCTAAAAAAGAAAAAAGAATATTAATCAACAATAGGCAGAAACAGAACTACGCCCCACTTACATTGCCCCTAAATTGTGAGAACAATTAAGAGATTAGGGCTACTCACGCTTTGTTCGAACATCTAATCTCAGACATGCTGCCATCACAAATGTCTCACGAGTAAATCTTGTATATTTAAGCTTTCACGCTTACGGTAAAAATAAAATTACCTAACGACAAATCTCCATGCTACAAATTGACGAGGGATGCGCACAAGGATGGGTAGCATAAAATTGCATACCTTTAGATTGAACTTCTTCAAAAAAGTTTCAGTACAATCTGGACCCCACAGCAGACCAATTCCGCGCTCCTTATTTGGAGCAAGACCGGGGCTCATTGATGGGTCTGACCATAAAACATCACCAGGAATCAGATTTGGACCTTCCCACGGAGGATCAAGGACCGACCTTCTAGCTTTCGCCAACTCTTCCAAGTTACCAAGGGTCAAAGAAGTCACCTCGGGGTTATGAACAAATTTACGATTCTTCTTTTTAGACCTTTTTGATTTTGATGGGGTGATGATAGTGCCACGGAAAAGCCCTCCGTGTGCAGTGTAAACTTTCCCAGCTATGATGGAAGCAAGGGGGAGCCCTTCGAAGCAGCCTAAACACTTTCGGTAGACATGCTTTCCGTTATCTCCATATTTGATAGATACTTCCTTCTCAAATCCGTACACAGATGTACAATACTTCGACTCATGATTTCCACGAAGAAGATACACCCTGTGAGGCATTACAACCTACAAAATACATAAGCCGTCTTAAAACTAAATGCTCAAACTCCTATTGTACTATTTTTAGGTGTAGTTGGGAAATGATGGTAAGAACTCAAGTGCTTTATGTCAACGAGAATTTCCCCTGACAAGAAAGGTAGTGCTTACATGGTAATAGGTTTAATAGAAAAGATACAAGAAATGAAGGCAGAACCAATCAAGACTTTTAACCATGAGACACTCCCAATAAATGAGCAAAAGATGTCACAAGAGTTGGAGGAGGAAAACATTTGACCCAACTGTGATGGAACATAACAATCTCACTAAAAAAGACGAATACTAAGCATTCTATCCCATATTATTTGACTCGTTATATTCCTCCATTTTCACTGGGCACTCAAATCAGAAACTTGATACCAGAAAATTGTAATCTGAAATGCCCGACTTACGGAAAAGTCCAGAAATTAAAATGAACACCATAACATAGTCGAAAATCCAACTAAACTTAAAACATACTGCTCGCATAATGTAAGATGGGCGTGGAATTTGAAATATTGCGACAAAAGACTTGCTATAAGAATAGCATCAAAATACTACTAGACAAAAAAATGAAGGGTTAAATTCCAGATAGAGAAAAGCAAAGTGGTGTAAAAGCAGAAAGCACATAAGCAAGATGGTTTGAAGGACAGAATGGCAATATAGACCAATGAGACTGCAAACTAAAATAAATTAACAATTTCCATTGCTTACTCCAAATGGCCACTTTTACGACTGATATAAAGTAGTTTCAACCTGCCAGGATTCAATCAAAGACATCCAAAAATAAAGGACAGTTAACCAAAGATTTGACAGAGATACAAGGGTTCTTATTCAAGGTGATAATTGCCACTCATGTGGGGTCAAACATTCCAGCAAAGAGGCTTAACTGGACTCGAGACAGGCAGAAATGAAAAGAACTATAGGCTTCAACGCATACAATAATTTAATGTTCATTCACCGAGAGATTTTTTTTTTTTTCAAAAGTCATGATTGGTCACAAACATTGTACATTCCCTCATTCTGTTTTTTTCTCTCCTCAATCTCATCAACAAATTTTTAAAATAAAAACCGTTCATAACAAAACATTTTCCTACAAAATTCACACTTCATCCACTTATATGGTTCTTATTATCAATATTTTTTTTTCTACCACCATCAACTTTAATCATTACATTTCATCTTGTATCCATTCACATTCTAAAAATTTCACCATTCCTCACCCAATTTTTTTCATCATAGGGAGGATATTTACTCGGTGCTCAAGTAGAGTCTTTATCATCCATAGAAGAAATATTCGTATATCTATGACAAACTGTGTCAACAATCATGATGCATTTTATTAGAGAAATAATGGTAATGATTCAGCAAAATCCAGCAATAAGCGGAGTGCAATTTTGTGTCACATCGGCTGGGTGAATGGGAAAAACAGAGACATATTTTACAGCATTCAGCACACCAGTGATTAAAAAAGGCGTGAGGCAAGGCAAGACGACAAGCCTGTTTGCCATGGCGTGAGGTGAGAGGCCAGGCGCTTGCCTTATGAAAATGAGGCGAGGCAATAGCAGACATAATTATTCATAGATAAAGCATAATAATATATATATATATATATCCTTTAGTTGAAAACTTCCAACAAAATATTATCCTAAACAAGAATTCTTTTACAAAAATAAATAGTACTTTCAATTTTGACTCTAGCAACCCTTTTTGACCAACCAACTCACAATAATAAATTATAAAATAAAAGGAAAAAATTAAAGAAGGGAAACAAGGGATAGGTTCAGGTAAAATAAGAGGGGGAAAAGAAAAACAAGATAGTAGAAAATCTAAACTGTTGGCGGAAGGTCTGACAATGTCCAAAATCAATGAGGAAGGATGGCAACCAGAATTTGAGAAGAAAAAGAAAGAAATAAAGAAAAGAAGAAGGAAATGTTGGAGAATCTTTTAGTCACCCACACCTATTCGAGTCGCCCGAGGGCCGCCTCGCCTCATGCCATGGTGACGCCTTTTTAGTCACTGCAACATACTACAGCCTGCTTACCAAATAGTTCAATCAATAACCAACATTAGCATAGAGCATTAAGCTCATCCTGAGATAAAAACCTGCTTCTTAGTCTGATTGGATCATTAGACTAGAATTTGAAGGCTTTAACAGCATTTATCACAAACCACAACAACTCTTAATGCCGCTTAATCACCACAATACATTCAAAAACATAACAATACCTTGCTGGAGTAAAATAAAAATAAAAATAAAAGGCATAGGAAGGGCAACAAGTGAAAGAAGACAATACACTAATGTGTGGTTACAACAGCACATCCAAAAGTGTACTTTTACTCTTCTAGTTTTTGGGGCGTTCAACCATGAGCAATTTCACACATTGGCTCAGATTCTATGGGATATACTCCATCCTTTTTGCTCTTTGGTAACATTTCTTTCATTTTTTTTTTTTTTTTTTTTTTTNNTAACAAGACACCCCATCCTTCAGTCCACCCAAACATTACCATACTTTATTCTTTCTCAAAAGTTGGAGAATCATAAAATTTTATTCACTTCCTTGTTTATGACTCTAAATCTTATATCACCGCATAACAACATACAGGTTAGTCTCAGTTACCTATTCAAGTTCACATATATCACCAAAAGAAAATCATAAATTAATCAAATGTTAATATGCATCAATTTGATCCAAAAGGACAATAAAAATTTTATTACTTGAATCACTTGCATTTCCATATTGCACTCTATAGAGAAGACAAAAAAAGGATATTTACTACTGGGGAAGTAACAAAGAGCAAAACCAGTTCATTTAAATGCAAAAACACTAACCTTCCAGGCCAGTAAGAGTAGGAAAACCTCAAGGCCCCAAGCACCTCTATCTACATAATCCCCATTGAAAACGAAAAAACGATCTTCGGCCGGAAATCCAGCATCCGCCAGCAAAAACAAAACATCGTGCAGCTGCCCATGCACATCACCAACCACTACAACCCGGGAGTCTGCCACCAACCCAGATTTTTCATCAATTTGAACACAATTGGGCTCTTTATGCAGAATCTTAGAGGCAGCAAGTACAAGTTTATCAAAGACTCCAACAGGGAGCACGGAGGGAAATTCGGAAGGGGGAATAGCTCTGGAGGCCCAGTCGAAGGCATGAATGAGGTTGAAAATCCATGAAACAGTGAGGGATCCGTCGACGGGCCATGTGATGGGGATCTGAGGAAGGTGGGTTGAGTTGGGGAATTTAGAAGTCGGGGTGGAGGCGGTGGGTAACAAGTCCTCGTCGGAAGATGGAGGCTCTGTAGCGGCGGCCGGTGGTGAGGAAATCATCGCCACTTCTCTTGAAGAAATGGAATTGGAGTGCCTATGATTATTGGAAAAATTAATAACTAATTAGCTAATTATTTTATAGCTTGCCACACTTTTTTGTATCCGAGAGTCCATTTGAGCAAATAATTGAGAAATTTAACTCATTACCTCTGCTTAAACTTACTTTAAAAATACGGGCAGGTACCGACATTTATAAGGTGGGTATTTAATTGGAATTTTTAAAGATTTTTTAAGATTTTAAAAATTTTGGTATAATGCTTGTAGACATCAAAATTTTAATATTTTATTAATTAATATCTTTATTTATTTTTTGGACATAAATCCATGATAAATAAGATATATAATTAATAATGTTATTATTTTTTGTCCACCAAGTCAAATCTTAATATTAGGAAAAAGATTATATCAAATCATAAGATAAGGAAAGAGATTATATCAAATCAAGAATGTAACGCCCCGATCATTATTATAATATTAAGACAATTTCACTGCTCGACTTTAAAGTGAAATTCGTAAATTTCAGAAATTCAAGATTTATTTAATTTATATGATAAATGCTCAATTATGTTAGATCATCCGTTAGAATTTTATATGTCAAGTTAAGGTCAAGATCAATCCATTAATTTGGGTTGATAAGTGTAATTTAGTCGACTCGAGAATTTTAGCCTCGAACCCTAGTCTCGATCCGAATAAATTTCCAAGTCATTTCCGAGTAATTTTCCTAAGTCATTGCTGAACTTTAGTAGCACAATACTTAGAATATTTTCTAAGTGTTGAGCGCGCCAAGTCAAGCCTTGAGCCTTGCATTCTCGAGCCCTAGCATTTAACCGAGCCGCCTGTTTCCAAGAGGCTCGAACCGAGCCTAAGTCATGGCCGAGCCTTGTACAAACCATAACCATACATAGCTATATTTTTTCTAAGTGTTGGAGTCATGTTTCAAGCCTTGACAAGTCCCTTAGACACGCCCCAAGCCAATTCATGCGAGCAGGCCCGCAGTCCACGCGCCCAGCCGTGCAGTCGCAGCACCCAGGCCCAGGGCGCGTCCAGGGCCAGCGCGGCCAGATTCTACGCAGCCCACCTTCCGAGCCCATTTCACCAAAATACAGCCCATTTTCACCGAGCCCAAATTTGTGAGGATGTAACCAGCTTACTACGGAGTATTTTCAGCCCACATGTCCCTAAGAAAGTCTTGGTCAAAGTCAATTTGGCCTTGACTAGATGGTGGAGAACATAATTAATTATTTTAATGCCTTGAATGAAGAGAATGTCCCCCCTAAGTCTTGGAGCCCGACCAGACATGCTCCCTCAGTCTTTGTGCCTTAAAGAGCTCCCCAAAAACCGTGCAAACTCAGGTGAGACAAGACCAAGACCACCCATTGTCCTATGTGCATGTGGAGAAGGGTTTGTCCCCCGTTTTTGTTCCATCTTTGACCAAGACTTAAAACCTCAGCCATTTATCTATATAATATCATTTCTTCAGACCTTAGAAGCTCTTAGACTCATAAATATTCGGCCATACTTAGAAAAATAAGAGAAAAACCAAGAACCGAAGCCACACACACGCGCGAGAAGGCCCGGGGAAGGAGAGCTCCAACCGTTTTCGAGTTCTAGCCATTTTTCACCGAGGTCAAGTAAGTCCATTGTGTTCTTGGGTTTATTCTAAGCCTCCAACACCCCTTGACCTCGACCAAATTCCACCAAGTCGAGCCATAGCCTCTCAAGACCCGAAACAAGCCTATCACGTCCCTAGCAAACATTTTCCATCTTCGGTGAAGGTAAGCCCAAGAAATCCTTTTTCCTCAGCTATTTTATGATAAAATAAGATTTATCATGAAGAGAAATGAAGTCATACATGCCTTTATCCATGAGTTTCGATTTTTAAGATTTAAATGCCTTAAATTCGGATTTTTAGCTCCATGCATGTTTAAGTCGAGATTGTTAGCCTTATGTCTCTTATAAATCATGAGAAAGATTATGTATAAGTTTGAGCTTATTTGAGTGCATTTGCTCGGTCAACTAGTCTATGAATTTATGCCATCTTTCACTCCCGAGCCAATATGTTATGCATGCGAGTTAAGCTTATTATCTAAGCCTTAAAAATTATGTTTTTGCATGTATATCTCTCGGCCATAGTCATATGTTCAAGTTAGAGAAGTTGGTTCGGTCAACTTGTTCACGATTTTATGTGAAATTTTGCCTCCGAGCCACATTAGTAGACATGCAAGTTTATGCTATCATTTAAGCCTCCTTAGTCATGATTTTGATGTATAAAACTCGGCCTTAGTCATTTAAGCAAGATTAAGAAGTGGGTTCGGTGACCTAAAGTTCGTGCGTGCCATATAGGCCCCACCAAACCAAGTCCATGCATTCCCGAGTCCTCCTAGTGTTTTATGTGCCATTTATGCCCCTTATATCATAAAATGTTGATGTGAGTTGGATGTCACTAGATAAGTAGTCGGACGGCCGGCGAGGAGCCGACCGGGGCCGCTCCCATGTACGTAGTGTGCGCTAGCGCCGGATAGCTGCCGCGTTCAGAGGTTAACTTCTTGGGGAAGTGCCTCTGAATAGAGTTAGCACCNGGTGCGCTCAGCACGCCTGGCCAGCACGAACAGAGGTTAGCACCCGCAGATGGGGCCCCTCCGTGCCCCGCAGTGCCTAACGACCCGCGCCAGTGCCCAACGTGCTGTGTCTGGACCAAACGTGTCCAGCATCCGCGCCAGTGCGCCCAGGTAGCGTGCCAGTGCCTCTAGTCCGCACCAGTGCGACCAGGAAGCATGACAGTGCCTCCAGTCCGCACCATCGCGCCCATGCAGTGTGCTAGTGCCTCCAGTCCGTACTAGCGCGCCCAGGCAGCGTACCCGTGCCTTGATGAAGATGTGGTCATCGACCTGGCAAGCCCAAGGACGATACCCATGATGGCCTCAAGAGATGGCACGAGACTAGGCGAGAGAGGGCTCGAGGACGGACAAAAAGAGTGCGCATACGCGTTAAGGCACACGTACCGATTGTACACGACAACCGAGCTGCGAGGCGCACGAGTCTTGGCCGGGTGAAGCAAAGGTACGTGACGGGTAGTGCGCGCGAATGTGAGCAATGGGCCAACGACGAGTCCAAGAAGAAAGTGCTCGGAAAGGTGGGCAAATGGTGCAAGGCGTGCGCGAGAGAGCGACGTGCACGGCGAATGGAGGCTAAGGCAAACGGTGCACGAGGGGTGGATGTAGGGTGGACAACGTGCACTTGGGGCGACTGCGGTGAGGCGGACGCACGAGTAAAGTGTGGTGCTGCGGTGGGCTCGATAAGCGGGTGCGAGCAGGGCGCGACGGTTGGAGTCACGCGCGAGGCATTGGACGAGCGTGGGCGATGGGCCGAACAAACGGGCGTAAGCGGCACGCGTAGGAATGGACGGGGCATGATGCGCCAGGCATCAAGCGAGCGGGAGGATGATGCCGAGGGATCGAGCGTGCGCGACACCCGCGCAAGTGGCGGGGACGCGCGAGATGGGGCACGCGGTCGAGCAGCTTGGGTGACGGGCGACACGTGGGGAGGGCGCGTGTGCGTTATCGCACGCGACAAGGACTAGGCTTGCAAGGCGGCATGCGACACGGGCGACTAGGGTTTGGGTGCGCGACGACTTGGTGAACAACCAAGAGATTTGGGCGTGATTTACTTAGCTTAATTAGGAATCTTAGTTTAGTTAGGAGTTTGAATAAAAGACATGTGCCTATTAGTATTTTATTAGTTTGGTAAGTCTTTATTTACAAGATGTGTAGTTGCCTTAGGATTTATTTACTTGCATGAATTAGGAGATCTTCTTAGATTAGGACTAGATCTAGTTGGTATCTATAAATACCCACCTATGTACCATTCGAAAATATGGTTGATGAGTGAATAGAAAATCGAACGTTTGTTCAAAGTTCTCGTGTGTTTTCTCTCGTGAGTTTACATAGAGTTCGTGATTGAAATAGGACCAACATCCGAGTTTCGTCACAGTGATAGAAATAGGACCAACATCCGAGTTTCGTCACACCTATCGTGAAGTACGAAGGCGTCGGCGCGCGTATTAGCAAACTAACGCGAAGGAACCAAGGCATCGGCATGGGTTTCGAGCGAATCGAGCTAGGCGTAACACATGATCCTTCATCATTGGTGCCTTTATTGAGAGTGATTGATCGTGTGTTGGGTTGGACTTTTTCTTCCCCATTCTATTTTCTTTTTTTTTTTTTAAATTCTTCAAAAAAAAAAAGAGTCGAGTGATGATGACACACAAGGAAAGGATTGAGGCCTTGGAGGAGAGTTTGAAATCCATCGGCAATGGTCAACACGTTGTCAATGAGAATTTTTCCAAACTCGAGCTCATGGTGCATGATCTCGCCGGGCAACTCACACGCCGACCGCGAAGGAGCCACACCTCGCGATCGACCGCGGCATCAAGCAGCCCCGGGATCGACCACGATGACGATGACGTATGATCATGGAGGACACGCGCATCACGCACGACACACCACCACCATGACCGAGGCTATGCACGACCGAAGCTCACGATGCCTATATTTATGGGGACCGACCCGGATGCGTGGTTAAGTCGAGCCATGCAATTTTTCGAGATCAATGACATGCACAAGTCCGAGAGAGTCAAGATCGCCGCTTATTATCTCGATGGTGAAGAAAACACTTGGTGGCAATGGGTGTCACATGTGTACAAAAGCAAATGCGAGCACATTTGATGGAGAGAATTCAAGAAGGAGTTAGTCACACATTTTGGGACGAGTGACAACTATGACTATGACGAGGCACTCTCCCGAATTCATCAGAATGGTAGCCTCCGAGACTACCAAAAGGATTTTGAGCGCATTGCGAGTCGGGTGCGAGATTGGCCCGAGAGCGCATTGGTAGGCGCATTCATTGGAGGACTTAAGGCCGAGCTAGCGGCTGAAGTGAGGTTGGATAGGCCAAGGTCAACCCGAGCGGCCATGGAGTCCGCGCGACTGCACGAGGACCACAATGCCGCGGTGCGCAAGGCCAACAAAGGCGAGGGACGTACGGAAGCAAGGCGCACGAGCGCGGCAACCGATGAAACGCCCTCAGGGGCCGAGACCAAGCCAGTCGACGATGGCCCACGAACCTTGAGCCACATG